CAGAGTTTATAGAAAGAGGCAGTACATTTCCTCGGGTAAGGGTGTGGGCCTGCAGCAGGCTGTCTAGGTTCAGTATTTAACTCTGCCATCCGCTATCTGTGTGGACTTAGACACTCTATGTGTCCTCTCCGGGGCTAAGCTTCCTCATCTGCAAGATGAGACAAAACACAGTAATGACTTCACAGGGTTGTGGTGAAGATTAAATGAGTCAAAATATGCAACACATTTAGCGGAGTGCCAGGAAGCAGGGTCAATGCTAAGAATTTTATTATCACTACCACCATCAGGAGACTGGACACAACCTAAGGGCCCATCAATAGGAAAATGGTTCAGTGAATATTACATGCATATAATGAGATACCACGTATTAAAAGGAACAAAGTAGAACCATAGTAGTGATTCCTAATTGGGGGTAATTTTGCCCCCCATGAGAAAACTGCAATGTCTGAGGCTGTTTTTGGTTGTCACATCTGGGAGGTGAGGTGCCCCTGGCATCCAGTGGGTGGTGGCCAAGGATGCTGCTCACCATCCTGCAATGCACAGGACGGCCCTCCAGAGCAGAGAAGGATCTGGCTCAAAACATCAACTGTGCCTAGGCTGAAAAACCTCCAAGATAAAATGGTATAAGGGGAAAAATATAGAAAAGCCATTTAGAAAAACCAAAATATAGTATACAAATACATGACTTTGAAAAGGCGCTGGAAAGATAAACAAAAAGTTTGTAGCAGTGACTGTCCCTGAAGAAAGGAACCAGGTTATATGTGTGGGAATCCACATATATAACATATTTTGGATTTGGAAAAATCCAAAACCCGCTTTTTGCTCTCTATGCTTTGTTTTTGTGTCATGAACGTATAATTACATCTTCGAAACAACAAACGAAATAAAAGAAGGCTGGGTCGCACATACCACATCAAGGCAGGGCTGTAAACCTGGCTCATCTTCTGAGTCCCTGATGATAGATGAGAAAGGGCTTTGAAAGGCACAAAGCTACGTCTTCCTGAGGTGAGGACGGCTGGAACATGCTTCAAAGAGCTACTGAACAGTGGTTGTGCCTCCCCTCTGAGGCAAATAACTGAGGGGCCTTCCCCTCCTGCCCTGGCACCCCTTTGAGCCTGGGGGGCTGTGCTGGGTATTGAATTGGGGGAGGGTCCTGATGTACTGAAAACCAGCCATTAAATGCACTGCCACAGCCTCACTGCCTCCTTTGGGCCAGTCAGTTTTTGCTGTACCAGCTGTCAAATATTCAAAGATCACTCCTGGCCTGAACCTGCCAGTCCCAGAGGCCAGGAACGTATGTATGCAATTTCACCAAAGACCGCAGCACAGCTGTTACAGGAAGAACACAGGCTATGCATATGCATGTCTAGCCTGCCATTTCCCCACTTTGTGTGGGAACAGATTAGGTTTCCTCACTTGCAGGATGGGGCTAGGAATATCCCTACTGCAGGAAAGTGCAGCTCTGAGGACTGTTTTTGATAAGATATCCAAGCAGAGGTCACTTGCATCCTCCCCTTGACTCCTCCAAATCAATTTATCTCATTCCCAGAGGCCCCAAAGGAGCCTGGGCTGCAGGCACTCAGAGCTGTAGCTCTCAACTCTGTGCGTACCTTAGTCTCTTGGGAGCTTTCTAATAAATAGTGACAGCTGATGGCAGTTCACTATGCCAGACCAAGTAAATCAGAATCTCTGGGGATTGAGTCTGACCCGCCTTTTTATTTTATTTTATGTTTTTAATAAAGCATTCCAAGGTGACAGTAACGTGAAGCCATCATTTAGAATAATGTTTGAGTCTCAGAGTCTCAGGGGCAGAGCTAGAGATCCGACCTGTTTCTGATGAAGTCCAGACCTCAGTGAAGAGAAAAGTCTTCGGTAAGATCAAAGTCAAACTCTTAGATTCCCTAATCAAGGGATTCCAGAGGGTCACTGCTGGTGGCCATTCCTGGCTCTGGAGTTGACCAAGATGCCCATGGGAGACCTGGATGTTGACTCTGAAAAAAACACCTAACAACGCCTGGTAATCCTTTTACCCTGCTTTCCTTTTCAAAATACCTATCGGCACCTATTATAGACTTTATTTTTGTCTCTCCCACTAAATGCAAGCTCCAGCTGAGTAGAAACCTTGCCTGTTTTGTTTAGAGACTAGCACAGTGCCCAGTCCATGGTAGGCACTCACTGGCTGAACGAATGAATGCATCTCGGAGCTTACCCAGGCTGCAGGCCATGAACACCTTTCTTCTCATCTCAGAACACTATCCCTTTATCATCTCTTCCCTCCCTGCCTTCCCCAGCTCCCTTACTCTTCTCCCTCTCATCGTGCCCTGGGTCTGTCCATGCTTTTGCATCACCGTCCTCTCAATCAGAGTGATTTTGCCCCTGCAGAGGACACTTGACAGTGTCTGGAGACATTTTTTTTTTTTCGCTTGTCACAATCTGAAGGGAGGTGCGGTGTGCTACTGGCCTGGTAAATAGAACCCAGGGTTGCTGCACAACATCCTATAATACATAGAATAGCACCCCCTCCCATCTCCCAACAAAAAACTATCTGGCCCCAAATGTCACAGTGACAAGGCTGTGAAACACTGGTCTGGACAGAAACATTTCCCGATCCATGTGTTATATGAGAACATCCCTTAGTCCCTGTCACTTCAAAGTTCTGTTCTTGACCCCGTGGGTTCCCCATGGGCTCCCTAGGGACATCTCCATCAGGAAGATCCTTTGTTCCTGACCCCACCTCCTCCACCCTACTGCTGCCCTCCCAGGACCCTGACTACACAATTCTGAACCTAAGCCCTGATCTAGACGTCCAAGTTATTTTACCTCTGAACCTGAAACCTTTACTCTAGGCCTCATCTTTTTGCTTTTCTACCATGGATTTTTTTCTCCAGGTGTGGGATGCCCGCGATTATGCTACTAATAAAACGATGACCATTTATGTGGCACTTCCTTGTGCCAAGTTCTACTTATGCTCACCATAAGCCTGAGGTTGGTTCTGTTATGACTACTGTTTTACAGGAGAAACCGAGGGGTGGTGGACTTAACTAAGCTCTCCCAGTCACAAAGCTAGCCAGTGGTGAAACCAGGAGTCAACACCAGACAGTGGGGCGCCACAGTCCATACTCTTGTTTCCAAGCTACGCTGGTAGGAAGGGGACACAACCATACGCAGCGTCAGTGGAGGGCTCTGTCCTCCACTCAAATGCACACATGCAGAAAACAGACGACACAGGTGGTTGGCGGGGACAGTGCACCACTGCTCAAATGGAGGTGGTCAGATGCCCTGGTAGGTGGACAAAGATCGCCCAGTCCCAAGTTCAGAGACGCAAACTCCTCCAGCATTCACCACTATCTCTGCCTCTGTCTAGGGTCAAAGAAAAACGACCACCAGCACCAAAACCAACACCTAAACACGGTGATTAGTATGTGACAAGGTCTGTCACATGTCAGGGTGTTTCAGCTACATCATCGCATTTAATCTTCCCAATAACACCCAGGCAGGTGCTATTAATATACTATTGTACCAAGGAAGACTGTCATGCACAATTAAACAGTTCCACAGATTTCCAGGGCAGCCCATCACACCTTAGAGCTGCTCAGAATTCTCCCCCTGCGGGCCTCCATTTCCATGGTTACAGTGCAATATACACCAGAAGGGCACAGTCACACACTCACAACCGCAAAGCCACTGACGCTAAGTGGCAGACAGACGCCCAGGCAAATCACACAGTAACCCAAGGCTACAATAAACGCCCACATCAGCTTGACACTGACACACACGCACACACTCCAGCAACACAAATCTTCACAGCCAGCGTCACACACCCACTCCCGGCTTCCCACTGTCTCCATTGTTCCCTTCGCGTGGGTCACGCAGCGATACACATCCGCGGTCCCGACATAGCTCCCTCACACACAGGCACACATGGCGCGCCTCACACGCGGGCGCACAAACCCCGAGAGCCACAGCAGCGAAAAGGCGCAAACCCCATGCA